CCCCTGCTGGCCCCCTCACCCACTCAGTTCCTTCTTACCGGCATACTCTGGATAAAGGGCAGTGGGTGGGGATTTGGAACGGACATGAGCAAAACATCTGGAAGAATCACAGTTACGAGGTAAGTAACCGTTCTTCCTTCGAGTGATTGCTCATGTGCATTCCAATATAGGTGGCTCCAAAGCAGAACCTAAGGAGGCAGGCTGGACGATGAAACTACAGCGGAGTGGAAGACTGCCCTACCCAGGGCAGCATCCCTCTGGCCTGATGCAACAGTGCATAGTGGTTGGCAAACATATGGACGGAGGACCATGTGGTGGCTCTACAGGTGTCTAGGATGGGAACCTGTGCTACAAAAGTGGTGGAGATGGCCACCACCCTGGTGGAGTGTATTCTAAGGGGCAGAGCTGAAATGCCTGCCAGGGTGTAGCACTCCCTGATGCAGGCACTTATCCAAGAGGCTATCCACTGGATAGATACAGGTTGGCCCCTCATGCACTCTGTGATGCCACGAAAAGTTGTGGCAACTTCCAGAATGGTTTGGTCCTGTCTAAATAAAAGGCTAGCGCCCTATGGAGGTCTAGAGTGTGTAAAGCCTGCTCTTTCCCAGATGCATGCGGTTTAGGGCAAAAAAGTGGCAGGCAGCTGTCCATCTTATCCTTAAAAAATACCGCGTAGGGGGGAATGATGTGAGTGCCCTGCCAGGTGGGTATCTGAGCTTAGAAGTGATCACCACCAGGAGAGCCACCTTATAATCATAGGTGTGCGCACGGGGTGTGCCAGGTGTGCCTAGGCGCACCCCAATGCAGGGGGTGGATTGGCCTTGCAGGACAGAGCCACCAGGCTCTGCGCTCCTGCACCGGAGCTGGTAGGGGCACTTATGGCCCCGCCAGAAGACCCCACCGGGCCGAGGGACTCCGGTGAGGAAGCCGGCAAGCTGACCCCAGCTGGGGAAGGTACTGGGCTGGGGGAAGGGAAGCCGTCAACCCAGGCAGCAGTGGACGGCTGGAGCCGGGGCTGCACTGGGGGAGGGGTCTTGTGCGGCATGGCATTGCGGTGCCATTTTTTAAAATGGCCAGCAACAGATTGGGGAAGGAGATGCAGCAAGCAGGGCATGGGGGAGCAGAGCCTGGCTAGAGGTGGGATGGTGGCTGGGCTGGGACTGCGAACACTGCAGGGCACAGCGAGCAGCTGGACCTCTCCCCCTTCCAGAG